GTGTGAACTACGGGGTGCAGGCAAATAGACTCCTTGAACACCCTTTCTCAAAACGCACAACAGAAGTGCGGTTTTGTGATAACTGACTTGGAATTGTTCAGGCTGATTGGTTATTTTATCAATTTTCTGATCAGCACATAGATCTGGTGCTAATTTTATCAGCTTGGTTTTAAAATCAGTGAATGGAGAGTGCAGTGTCTCTCACCTTCCCCTCCACAGATGGAATTACGCAAAATGTATTCACTTAGATAAAGATGTTGGTATTGGCTTTGGTGTTGCTAGCACTTTTCTAAACTGATGAATTTGAACTTCAGACAACACTAGCTTATTTAGCATTCACAAACCGCAGCAGTGTATTAGGCATTAATTATATATGACTAATTATATTCATTATAATGAATGAGAATTATATTAGGCTTAAGAACTATTTAGAGGGAACTAGAAATTAAAGCAGCAGGATTTAGTATCTGGCTGTCATGGACGTGCTGTGTGTGCCCTTGGGCAGCATGGTTTGCCATTCTGCCTCTAGTTTTCCAAAAGACAAGGTAAAGGTAATGGTGTGTACCTCCTTTGTAAAGCCAGTGAGATCCTGTTATAAACACAAATATCGCTATATATACATTAAAATAACAGCATGTAATTTCAAATCTTCCAGCACTACAGTTTTAAAATACTTCTTTAATGCTAAATAGTTCAAAACACTTAGTCCATCCAAGGAGAAAAATCCTACCAAAAATTGCCATAAAAAAAAAAAAAAACATACAAGTAAATAAAAATTATTTTAAAATATTACTCTTTGTGAAAGTATTTCCAAGTAATCTGAAATTCGATAAAGACCTGAGCTTGTACCTGGTCTGGAATGAGAAATTTCTATCATCTTAGACATTTGGAGAGCCCTCTGACAGTGGCATTTTGAGTGATGGGTTCAGCCACTGGGAGAGGGCAAGCCTAATAATCCACGTAGGAAATTCAGAGAAAAGAGAAATTCATTAGAGAGTGATCTCACCAACTTCTCCTCTGCCTCCACCTTGCCAGCTGCGAAATGGGAGTAGTCAGAACAGCTCATTTTGTGGGGATTTGTTCATCTTTATAAGGCACTTCACAGGCATGAAGCAGTACACAGTTTGCCACATGTGGGTGGGTAGCTGTGAGCTTTGTCCATTCAGCAGGTGTGTCAGTCCCTTCTTCTTCATGAAGGCCCTGTCCCTGGAGGCCTACACAACAGGAATTATTCCCAGCTGGCAAGGTCTGTAGCCAAAAGGGCAGAGCGTCCCCCAGAAAGTTGTTTCTGCTGTCATGGCACTGCAAGCAAAAGGCATAGAAAAGTAAAGGGAAAAATAGTCTGGTTTAACCAAAAATGTTGAGCTGACAGAGCTCAGCACAGTTTATACCTGAATTCCCTTGCACTGGGAGAGAGACTAATTTTTTAATGCAACTAGTTCGGTAATACCAACATCCTTCCATTCCGCCGATCAGTTCTCAACCCTCCACAGCAGCAGATGAAGCGCCCAGGACCACCCTCTGCCGCTGAGGTCAGTTGGCACAGAATGGCCATGGCCCTGTTATTAATTTCATAATCTCCAGAAGAGGGTGGCTACAAGCACCTTGCTTACTGGGAAGAGCCTCTGCTGCGTGCTGACTTCCTAACTGTGCCACCAAAAGAAGAATGTAAGTTGTGCAGTAGAAGGATATAAGCTGATCTAAGCCAAAAATCATGCTTGGGACATTTCAAACAATTGAACAGGATAGAGAATCAATTGTCAGCGCCCAGGAATGTTCCTGTTTCTTGTGAATCTGCTTTTTATCCCGGTTCTGACTTCCACTTTCTTTCTGATCACCTTCCTTGTTGAGCTGGAGAGCTTGTCACAGTCGGTAGTGTAAGGCTTCTTTTCATCACAGATATTTCCAGAAGGTACAACAACTAGCACTGCTGAAAATAAGATTTAAACACCAAAATCTAGCAATTTAGGGACAGCAGTAGGGCAAAAAGCCACAAAGACAATGCATTGTGCTACACGTCAAGCGCCATTTCCAACTGTCTCTGCATTCTCAAATTCTGAAATGCAGGTCTGAGGTTTTTCAGGTTTGGCTGAAACACTGTGTAAAACTGAACTTGCACAAGTAACAAAGCCAGCTGCATTCAGAGGATGTTGTCATTGCCTGGATGGGATATAATAATTTCTGCAAAAGCCTTTAGTCTGCAAGATGTGATTAACTGCGAAAGGCAGAGTTATTTAAACAGATTAGATCAGACTCTGAAAGGCTTCTCTAAGAATCTGTATATACACCACTTCCATGTCTGGAGGAGGGGGCCTCCAGTTTCTTAAGAAACAGTTGCTTACAAGTATATCCTTTTGTATGGAAGTGCGAACTTAAAATTGTTTTCCTCTAGCCATTCCCTTTTCTTTCGGTCGTGTTTATTATTCTGCAGTTACTCTACCAACTCTTTGATCTGATGAAAAAAGCATATTTCTGGCAGTCAGCAGACCTGGTTTCTATTTACATTCTGCTATTAAAGCGATCTGGCATAAATTCCTGTCGACAATGACTCAGCTCAGAGAACTGATCTGCCTCAAAAACCAACCTAGCTAAAACCCCACATTGTTAGTTTTCAGCTAAATCCATAATCACCTTAACCGGGCGGCTGCACACATGCTCCCCAGTGCCAGTACTCGGGGAAGGCAGGAACAGGCAGCTGGGGACAAGAGTAAGGACTGGTGCCCTGCGCCCGTCAGCAGGCCTGCCTCATCCCTCAGCAACTGCTCCTGGAGCTGCAATTACTCATTTTAAAGCAAAGATGAGGTGCCACACCAAGGTTTGTGCTGCCAGATTCACTAGTTGGAGCGCCCCTGAGTAGAAAATACATTACAAAAGGCAACGTGTGCAGGAGACGAGTATGCGCGGGGCGCCTGGGTGCTGCTGGGCTGCAGCGGCTGTTCCCCGGCTTCCAGCCCCAGCCAAGGCTGCGCCAGGGAGAGCCACGCCGTCTCCCCCCGATTTGAGCAGCTCTGGAGCGTTACATGGGGCAAAAAAGCTCTGTTCTGAGCTTGTCTACTCTGAAATGTGAGTTTTCCACTGGCACGGCAGCAACACAAAGAGCTCCATGGCTTTCAACAGCCCGCCAGGAATCAGTAACAAAGGCACTAAGTGCGTCTTCTTTTTGGCACAGCAGCACTTTTTAATAACCCCTGCCCCAGCAAACTCTTAATTCCTGAAGAGAACGATGCAATGCATTTAACATTCTTCTGATTAATATTGATGGCTACAAGCCACCCATTGTTTTTACTACATAGCTGCTAATCAGAAGGGACTACAGAAACCAGCAGAACAAGCCAGAGGAGCTGTGGAAGCCTTGGTTCTTCAAAAATCATGGCAACTGGCAGGAGGTTTTCCCCCTCACCCACATTTTTGCAGTTTGTTTTAAAAGCAGAAGTCTTACTTGGGTTCATAAATCTACACTGTGCTGACTCACATTTGAAAATGTTTACTTTAGCAGTTATGTAGCCTCATTAGTGTGGAATGTTTATACTCGCTCCTGCATTTGCACTTACCTATACAGTTATATATTGTGTGCTGTAACTGTGTGCTAATAATCCCACTGTATCTCTGACGCTCTTTCATAGTAATTGCTCCCCTAGGTGCTGTTTTCGAAAGATTTCTGTGTTTTAATCTTTGAAATGGAAGTAGGCTTTGTCTTACTATGAAGTTGATGGGAAAGGATATACCATAAAATTTGGCCCTATTTTATTTCAGTGCCTAATTGATTAGTTGGAGGCAGTGATCGGGAAGCCTGAGCAAGGTTATACTACATTTGCTCATGAGGGCAAGGCAAACATGAAAATATAATTCATGAAGACCTGGGCACTGATTCTTCCTTGCCTTGCCTTGCGCTTTTCTCCTCTTCAGCCTAAGAGAATAATGTGTATTAAAACTGATAAAAATTTACTTCATGTGTATATAAACATTGGTACATCTTTAAAGTATGACAGCTGCAGTGGTAATAGTAGAAATTGCTAACATGCTGCATTTCTGGGATGAAGTAAATGCTATACCCACTTTGTACATTTTTATGTTGATGAAAAATACACAGTTCATTTCATAAGATCATGTGATCTGAGGGGAGTGTGCCTTGGAAGTGATGATGATTTCCCATCCCTTCACCGATTTGTGCCTCACATTTGCTGGAATTTCGTAGCGCCTGGGAAATGAGTGAGCACTGACACAAATAGAATCCAACATCTGTGTGCTCTGCTGTAAAATAGAAAAAACAACATAGGAAACGCTCGATCATTTTTACGAATCAATCACAGAGGCAATAAATCTTTCCTCAGAGCCTAGAATATTATCTTCTCCTTCATACTCGTGAGGTTTTCTCCAGCATCAGAGAGGCTGGAGTAACGAGCTCCTTCCTAGGCTGATGATACACCCACACACAAGGGAGGAAAGGAGCACCAGGATAAGTGGGAAGACTTGACAGCTCCTGGCAGATGGGAGCGAGGATCGGGTAGGCATGGGGAACTCACTGGAGGGAGCTGAGGACAGGAAAGGCAAAGGCATCCCACGACCCGGGTGGGGAGGTAGAAGGGGGATCTCCAGGCTGTGTTGGAAAAAGGAGGAGAGAAAGGATCCAGGAGAAAAAAGGAAACCCAGGAGAAAGGATCTCCAGGCTGTGCTCAGCAGGGGTGCCCAGTGCCCCCGTTTTGCTGTGCCACTGGACATACTCACATCCTTTGGCAATAAAACCAACTGTCTCCTCGGGACACATCGCTCCAGCAGGTGTTAGCTCAGTCCTTGTCATACTGTTAAATCTTCACATAGCTCAGTGTTAAACCTTCTTCTTTCCCTCCCTCCATCAAAATCCCTGCCTCCAAGCACAAAGCCTTTGTATTTTACTCTGATGTGTTGAATTTAACAGGCAGGCCAGAAACCAGGCAAAGGTGATGATTGTAACCCACCCCCCTCCTCCCCCAAATAAAAGTGTGAGGAAAATGACAGACAGCTTTTACATCCTTTTACATCTTTATTTGCCAGTTAAGATCCTTTTATTCCATCAATGCAAATATGCAGAACAGCAGGAAACCATGTTTTAAGCAGCACATACCAGTTGGCTGAGAATAAACTAACTACATTCCCCAAGCAATGTAAAAGTAACAATGCACATCATCTTCCAGAAGAAGAAACAAACAGATATTGCAGCCGAGAGGCACAGCAGGCAGCTTCCGTACAAAGTAGTTTGGCTATTTAAAATGCTAGAACCAGTCCCTGCCCGTTTCCCCAACCCCACCCCCAAAAGTCCTACTATAATTTAACCACTTTTTTTTTTTTTTTGCTATCTACATAATATATAAAATATAAACTCTGTTTACTTATAACACTTACTTTTCTTGATAAATAGCTCTTTAAAATATCTACTGTACATATGTCCATGCGTTGACATTATATATATATATAGCATTTATATATATGTATGTATGTCTGAAAAACAATAAATATATACTTAATATTGACACAGCAACAAACTGAACATATCCTCATTTTCAAAATCAAATAAAAGCCAGTACGGAGGGAAACAGTGAGTGTCACTTGGGAAGCACAGCATAGCAGGGAGCTTTTATTCCCACCCTGGCTCGGCATTCCATACGCCAGATATCTGAGCAGTTGTGGTGTTAGCATACTCTCTAATGACTGTGTTAAAAGTTACTTCAAGTTGTAGGTTAGCCACCCCGTACGCCATGTGTACCACTGACTGAGTGCATGCTCGGTGGGAAACAAGGGAGACTCGCCTCCTGGCTTGCAATGGAATGAGAAACGGAAAGAGGAGGGAAGCGAGTCTGACAGCTGGTGTAAAAAGAAAAGGAAGTAATAAGAAAAGGAAGCAATGGACAGCACGTGGCTGGAAGGTCATAAATAACCATGGTAAACAGGTTAATAGAGTTAAGTGCTTTTAAGGAGGATGGCTGGCACTGCTGCAAAAAGTGTCTTGATTATCTGTAGCCAGCTCTGTGTAATGAACCAGTTTTCCCACTGACACAAGAAGACACAGATGAAACCCAGATGGCCAAACTCTGATGCTAGAAATGGGGTCACTGCATGACACTGCGAGGCTGCAGGTTCAGGGCCAAACCTGCCCAAGGGCAGTTAAATTCACTGAATATCCTTAAGGGACGTTCGCTGAACCTAATGGATGGAATTTTTTAAAATATGAACTTAAAAAAAAAACAAAACAAAACAAAACAACAACCAAAAAACAAAAACAAACAAACAAACAAAATACCCAACCCCAAACAGTTAATTTCACACATGCCAAAATATAAATAAAAGGTGGATTTTTTTAAACTTTTCATTTCAAAACAGCATTCTTTAAGAATGGAAATTAATCCCAAAAGAAAGAATGTAAATAACCTTCCACAAACATGTTTTGTGTTCAGTTTTGAATTGACCATAGCCATTCTGATTATTCATTTAACTGAAAATGCCAAATAAAAGTTATTTCAGTTTGACCTAAGCTGATACCCTTCATTCCCCTACCCCAAGGCTTCGATTTGGCAGCTTTGAAAAAGTCATTACATTACTTGCCTGGGCTCTGGCTTCATACACTCAGTAAGTCATGAGGTTATGACATCAGTTCATGAATGCAGCATTATGTGTAGTCCCATTTACTTCAAATTTCTTCTTTTCATGAGCAAATGGAAGTGGGCAGTTATTGTTAGGGGAAGTTATTTTTATTGGACAGACTTCATCCAGCAGCTCAAGAGAGAGGAAATTTTAAAGCAGATACGACTGCCAATTATTATTCAGCAATACTTCATCTCTAAAATTCACAAACTTTGCTCCCCACAAGTAACAACTTCAACAACAACAACAAGAAACTGCTGTCCTGAATAATCCTGCCCTTTCACAACTAGTCCTAGATACCCAGAGAGCACTGCAGAGGTCAAACAGTCCAGCGCTGAGTTTCATACGTACTTAAGGGTACATCACTGGGCCGCTGGAACATCACACCAGTGTTGAGTATCTGCACAAAGCCAAAAGTCTGCTGGGTGTTTTTAAACCCTTTGTAAATACGGAACTTAACAGTGAACAGACTTCACAATGTGTGATATTTTATATCGAAGGCCATAGACAAAAGTCAAATACAAAAATTCCTAGCAACAAGAAATTCTGTCATCTGTATTTTCTGAATCTCTGCAAAGACAACATCAAGATAGTTTATTTACTCACCAAATAACACATGCTTTTTTTTTGGTAGGTCAGTAAGTCATTTTAAATTGTCCAGGTCTTTTCCACATTTGTATGGGCACAGAAATAAACAAGGTAGCAGAGAAATTGAATTGTTCTTGTGCTGTGACCACACGCTGCAGAAAAGCCTCCTTTTTTGAATGGCTGAACTTCTAGGACAGGTTTCACTTGTACAGTTACTGATTTGAAAACTACCCAAGAGAAGGAAACACTACGTACAAAGTGGAGAGTGCCTCTGATTGCCCTATGCTGGCTGGGCAGGAATTTCTCATGCTTTCAGCCAAAACAAAGGATGAACTCCGCAGCAGCCCATCCTGAGCCTAAACTCGTCTGTGCACGCCCTGATTCTCTGCCGTATTGGCTGCACGGGTAAAGACGTATCATCTCTACTTGGTATTTTCTAACTACATGGCTCAAGTACTATTAACACATGCATGGTATTAGATACAGGAAACCCCAAGCTCTTGCAGAGTTCTTACGCCTCCACGTAAGACTCCACTGAGTTCAGCGCTGAGGACGTGCACGGATCTAGCAGGAGCACAGGACAGATGCTGCTTCCCCGAGGGCAGGGTCCCTTCTCGGGCTCCAAAACACAGAGGTGGAGCAAGGCTGCTGCTGTCACCCTCCCGAGGCACCGCCCTCACCCTCTGCGCCGCCAGCTTGTTGTCCCTGTTGGTGCAGGCTCCAGGCTCCCTCTGGGCACAAGGAAGGGCTTCAGTTGTGCCCTGCTGTCACACAGCGCAGGGTTGCCCTACCCCCTGGTGTGGACCCCGATGCAGTTCCCATGGAAAAAAAGACGTTGTCTCTCAGGGGACCGTCCCAGCATTGGAACAGACCCCTGCAGAGCATCAGGGCATTTCAACCGGGCTCTCCCCTTTGGCTCTTCTCTTTGGCAACAGACCCCTAATGTTCAGTATCCTACCTGCGCAGGTTGATGGCAAAGGAAAGAGCCTGTCCAAGAGCAGCTCTGGGAAAAAGGAATGAACCTTTCTTACCTAGCATATGAACAAGCTCATTTGGGCGCTACTGTAAATTCCAGCAGTAGCCACAGTTTGGCTATTAGGCCTGCACCAATTCTAGCAGCATTCATCTCAAACCTTGTGGCACAGCATTAAAGAACAGCATTAAAAGTGCAATTCCAAATATATGTTTCCTGGTGTGGTACCGCTTTTGAGTTCAATCAAGTACATCTCTGCAATCTGCTGCCCAAATTCTTAAACCCAGCATGAACTCCAGAGGCTACTTAGGGCAATTCAGTGTACTTTCAACTGTACCAAAAGAGCAGAGGGCTTGATGCTGCCAAGAAAGATCCCAGACTGTAAAGGAACAATTTATCAGAAGTCATACACATTCTATGAATAAACCAATTCCTTCCTCCTCTAAGCCAGGTGGAAGTTTAGTATCTTTACACTTGACACTACAGCACCTTCACCTCCTAGAGAATGGAAAAACTGTCATACAATCCCAAACGGATGCAGTTACTGCTGCCATCCCAGTTACCTAACAACTTCACCTAAATCTAGCATAAGACCTCTGTTGCCGCCAGAAGAGGAGGTTCCACCCTGCCCCTGCTCATTCTGCCTGCCTCTCCGGGGCCAGCACCGTGTCGCACAGCAAGCTCTACAGGATTCAACCTATTTGCAAGCCAGTACTGATAGTAGCATCAGATGGCTGTGTAAGCACAGCATTAGATTTTCTTTCTGCTAAGCAGCACTATCTGCATCAGTCAGTCTGCACAGAGGATGGACGATACCTGTCACCTAAACCTTTGGATCCGGGACAGAAAGGTTGAGCTCAGTAGTTCTATCCCTATACACTGTGTCTCGCCTGGGGACCATTCGCTGCAGGGGCAGGGAACAGGATTCCAGCATATCTTCTTCCAGCTGGCATCACAAAACCCAGAGAGACACAGAAAAAAAAGAAAACACAGATAGGAAAAACTGTCAACATTGGTGAAAGAAGCAAGACTCACAAACATTTTGGTTCATGTTTAGTTCCATTTCTGGATGGTGTTTAACTAGACATGGTTGGTTATCCACCGGGCTTGCATTCATGACTTTAGTGACCATTTTCAATAAATGGCTTTTGTCTTACTATGTGAAATCTCTCTTGATCCCCTTGGGGTGATTTCTTGATCAAATTCTCTCTTCTGTATTTCTCTGTGTATTTTTCAGGGCAGCAACTAGATAGTGTGGTATACCACAACAATTATAATGGAAAATTCCCGTTGGCACAGATACTACCTCAGGAATTCTCAGAGAAATCCATTTTTAGCAAAAACATCCAAATTTGTCAAGGGCTGCTTCCAAGAAGGAATGATGAAAGCTTGCCCACGGTCTTAGCAGAAGCAGTCAGCCCCAGAGACAGTTGTTAGAACTGGCAGAACAACAATGTTAGAAACAATTCTCCATTTGGGTCGGGTTTTGCAGGACTATATTATTCCTTCATCAGTCACACTATTACACTTCGGGGAATATTTCATGAAAGGTCACATATGTGCTTTTCAATAATTAAGCACACATTAATAATTTTGAGGTGGGAGAAAAGTTTCCTAAATTTAGCCACCTAAAAATTTAGAAGCCAAGATTCTCTGCAAGGGAGGACAGGAATTTCCAGTGGGCACCTCCTATACTAATGTTAGGATGAACTGAGTCAGCCTTTGGCAAGCTCTCTCTGTGTTGACTACTGTGTCCTTGCACAGCTGATCAGGACAAGGCACCCAATTTTCAGCTGGCTAAAGTCAGATGAGATGAACCGCACCATTGATGCCCTCCTGTTCAAAAACTGGAAGCTCTAAAACTGGGCATAGGACAGGCAGCAGCATACAGCAGTCAGACAGAGTCATTTGTAGAAGTCCTAGAGAAGCCCTTAGTGCTCCTAAAACTAGCAAAAGTGCTTTTTTGTAAATATAAATTATTCTGACAGTTCCCTTTCCAACCTAAAATGGCAACACTAATGTGATGACCTTGAGAAAGAGGGTCATATTTTCTCTTTTAATTTACTGCTCATCCAAATGTTCTCTTCTTTCCACTAGTCAAAATCAACAAAAAGCCCTGAAAAGGTTTTTCTCAAGTTTAATATAATTTAGTGCTATATGCTTGTGTTCTCCTTTTTTCCTATCTGAGGACTTAGCGCTGTAAACGCATAAGAACTGGAGCAGCTTTAGGGAGAAAAGCAGTACCCCTGTTTACTGGGATAATTTGTGTGCCTTTCACTGTATTCTTTCAAGAATCTGTTCTCAAAAGAATGTATTATTTCAAGACTGCAATTTAAAATATTAAAAAGAAGAACTGGACAAACGTATCAAAAGAGTTTGTCCACCCCTGCACTGATGACAGGGAAAGGTTACTGGTGCCAGTAACTGGTCACTTTGAGGAGGTGAAGAGGTGGGGGCCTTATATAATTTTTTGTCCCTGGAAATGGATGGGAAATTTTCTCATCCCTTTTGTCTTTCACTCACACTGACTGCTTGGTAGAGGTGAAAATTCCTGGGTAGAGCTATATGAAATTAATTGTCAGTGTGCATCTCTCAAGTATGCGTTCACAAGGGTTTAAAAGAACACCACCCGCCTAAGCATCATACAGTTTGGGGTTGGATTTTTACTGGTTTCCACCTAAAACCAAAATGCACAATGAATTCACTCAAAAGTCAGTCCCAGACACAGGAAATTGTGTGTAAACCTTCGTAAGACTAGCCTGAGTTCAGCTGTATAATAAAACCCACTATCACTACTGTGTCATGCCACTTGCCATCCGTGAAGGTTTTGCACAACCCATTTTAATCAGCAAATCTGTGCAGTTAACACTGAAGCTTTCTGGGAGCTCACAGAAGACCCTCCCTCCCCCAATAGCGGGGCATAAGCACTGTGGTTGAGGACTGCTTTGATTTAAAAGCCACACATTTTCCTACCTAATTGTGCTTTAAAAAACAAAACAAAACAAAACCCGATTAGCTAAACCAACACAGAGAAGCTTCTAATAAGATATATGAAAAGTGAGCTGCCAAGATTTTCCATATCACATGACACTTTCACACCAAGTCCTATTATTCCATGTGTTGGTTAGAGGTGTTGTACTACAGCACGGTGGTGTCAGCTGTCATGGTAGGAACCATTCATGTCAGACAGTACAGAAAATTTAACGACATGACAGTACCTTCACAGCCCTCTGGTAGGTAAGGAAAATCTAAAAGGACCTTCCCAACCTTTCACAGTAAACACAATTGGATAATCTAAAGCACCTGCAAGCAGGAGAGGAGTCCATGATCAATCTTTCCAATCAGCCAGCTAATACTGTTATTAAAACAGTTAAGTTATGTCAGCTCTTACGTCTCCTATCTGTTTTGGGCATTTCTAAGGACCTTATCACTTTGGCATTTAGCCACCAACAGATTTAGTTGATCCAAACACTGTATTTCCTTCTCCTGTATCCTCAGCTGTTTCTAAGACGCCCAAGCCCTTCACAGGGGCTGAATTACCATTTCCTCCAAGAGCTGTCTGGCTCCTATTCTTTCCTATGAGCTGAGAGGAGTTAGCAGTAGAGAGACATCCTGCTCTTCCGCATGGCTTCGCTGATTAAGTATGCCGGGCTCAGTTCCGGCTCCTCGGTCATGATGGAAATGTTCTGCCACTCCCCCAGCTGGTTTGACTTTTTAATGGTGTCCACCACACACAGGGCGTACAGACAGTCGTCAAAAGTGGCCGCCATCGTAAGGGGCCTCCCGTCCCAGGTCCTCCTGTCGTCCTGGTCCTCAAACGCCTGCCGGACAGCTTGAACCATCTTAATGGTGCCCCGGAGGTAGGGGGAGGGGATGTCACTGAAAGCCTTCTCCGGCAGTAAGGAGTTGCTGACTGGCGTGGAGTCCTTCAGCAGGAGCTCCCGCTGAGGAGAGCTGTTGCTCTGTCCGTAGAGATCGGTGCCTATCACAATCAGCCGTCCCGCCGAACCCACCACAATAATGTCCTGTTTGAACTCCCCCGGGACGTTGAAGTTGAGCGTCACCGTGCAGCACACGCCGCCTTCCAGGACCATCTGAAACGTACAGAAGTCGTCGCTGGTGATCTGCCGTATCCCCTTGATGTGGTCCGTCTGCTTCACGAAGGTCTTGAGCAACCCATGCACTTTCACGGCCTTCTGGCTGGTGAGGAAGGTCAGGAGGTCGATGATGTAGGTGCCAACTGAGTGCAAGCCCCCACCTCCCATCAGGTCATCACAGCTCCAGTTGTACTTCTTGCCTAGCAGGCTGCCGCTGTGGACCTGCACCTCGCACACCAGCAGCTCCCCCACGTAACCCTCCTGGATCAGCTGCTTCATCTTCACAAAAGCGGGTAGGAAGCGCAAAACGTTCCCCATGATGCTCATGAGCTTTGGGTAATAATGAGCTGCAGTCATCATCCTAAAGGCATCCAGGGGAGTCGCCGTTCGGTCACAGATGACATTTTTTCCAATACCTGAAAAACAGTTTAAAAAAAAAAACATCATCAACAAAAATAGATCGATCGAGTGAGCTAACAGCCTCGAGGGTATTCTTGAAGGCTAAGCCAAGGAGAAAGATACTTGAAAGAAGAAAACTTTTCAATATGGTGTTAAAGGCACAAAGATCTCCTCTGGCATGTTTCCAAAATGCCTGTAAGGGTTTCCTGAGCACCACAGTGAAAATGTATCCCTTTTTATTTTCAAAACGCATTCATGCCTAAAAATAGCATGAAGGCGAGGGCAGGTAAGAGAGTAAGCTACAGTGAGGTGGCCTGCTACCCCACATGTGCCACCTTCTGGGAGCAGGGACGAAATGAAGCACCTCCACTCTCACAGACGTCTCTTCTGTGATAACCTGCCTCTGTGGGGGCTTCTGAGAGCTGAATCAGAGCTTCAGATTCCAGTCCCCAAAGCATACAAGTAACACGATCGCGTGTACACAGTAACCTAGTGTAGGTACGCTGGGAAGTCTGGGCTTGTCTTCTCAATGGACTTGTCCCTCCATCTTTGCCATTCAGACTCTTGAAGAAGCTCTGACTGGAGAGCAGGAGAAGTACTGGGCTCGTTGCTTGATTTGAAATATAGAAATTGCTTCTGACTCATAAAATGCCATGCTATTCTGAGAATGGCACTCAGTTTTTTTGAAGCAGCTCTGCTGAAATGTCAAGAGTGCCTCCACGGCGCCAAGGGAGAGCCATGATTTCTCTAAAACAGGTCAAACGTAGCTGTGACAATCTGTCCCCTCACAGAATTGCCCATATGGGCACACTGTTACTGAAGCTTGCGTAACCGTCCCGTTTTATCTGACCATCAAAATGTGCAACCGAATGCAGTGCAAGCTGAGATGCCTAAATAGTGGTTTTATTATTGATTTCTCCTCATCAAATACTTTCATTCTGTACCCACAAACATTGTGACAGAGTCTTCAGTTTCCTTTTTAGTTGCATACAACAATTTTATTAGGCTTAATGAAAAATCTTAGGTGAGCTATACAACACCTGATAGCACTAAATATGATCTTTGCCTTGAGAACCAAGGGCTATAGCTGGGCCTGGCACTTAAAAGAGCTGAATTTGGATCCTGTCTGCTGGAGTCCAGATGAATAAATCTAGTTACTTGCTAAAAGGCTTTGTGTTTTGGTTCCTTTTCCCTTCAGATAGGTGAGAAATCCCTTTTTCTTTAAAGAGCTGTTGTGAGGATATAATTTTTAATGTTTTGGAGCTGTTTGGATAAAGTCATATAAATACAGACAGATGGCAGGGATCTGTCTGAGCCCACCTATATGAATATTCAACAGCCTGACTGGAAGAAGAAGGGGGTCACAGTCCAAACATTGAATAAGATTATCCACAGTGCCTATCCCCAGTCCTTGTCTGCTGCTATTTGAGTAGCTGAAACTGGAGGGAGGACTGTCACCACTGAAGTGGCAGTCACATCTAGTTAATAGCCAAGAAGGGAGAGACCTTTCTTCAGCTTGCTGCTATTTACATTCTACTTAATCAGATAGTAGAGACGTACTCATTTACCTTCTATAATACGCAGGAATCCTCTGTTCAGTGGCAATGGTCTTCCCTTCTCCCTTTTCTCTCTCATCTTTACAGACTGCTACTGGTGACTTCGGTGACATTTTCAACCTTATAGCACTTCTTTTCCTGCTCCTGAAAAATTTTTTACTGCATCTGTTTGATATTGGAGAAAGCATTCATCCACCTGCCCTATATTCCTCTAACTGGTAGCTCCAGCTATACCACTTGATACAGATCACTAATACAATAGTCCTTGAGTTACACGGACTCTCTGCAGAGAGATTTTAGTCTGTCAAATTAGTTACAAAATAAGGGAAATCGTAGTCAGACAAAACTTGCCTACGGTCAAACCTTCTCAAAGTAATCCTTTTCCCCCTCAAAGAAGCCATACATACAACGTCACCACCTGCCCTATTCACCACTGATCCACAAGCATTGCCTTCTGCTCCAGTTCAGCTTGCATCATTCTGCCTCACAGATGCCTGTCGCATTTTATCTGGGGTCTGGGCAGGCACTAAGCTCTCAAGACACGCAGCTCTACGCGTGTGCTCGTGAGGAAAAGGGTCTGCTTCCATGAGGAAGAGCAGCTCGGGGACAATCTTTTTGGTGTGTGTTCAGTGCCATGCACTGTGCGTGCCAGTCCTTACTGTGTGGGGCAGGGAGCACTTGGGACTGTCACAGTCTGAGTACCAAATGATGATTATAAATATGAAAGAGAAGCCTTTGGGGTTTTACCTCCCTTACATTCAAGAAAAATTGCCATTAGGATCAGTGTAAGTCAGGCACACGTGCAGAGAAAAGGGAAAAGCCCTAAGTATTTGTGTGGAGAGAGGGAAAAGGTGAAGTCTTACACTTACTCCTTCCACCATTTCAACCTTTTTGGAATGGTCGAAACCTTTTAATTACAGCAAATCCAAAATGCAAATGTTTTGAGACCCTTCCCGTCTCTGTGCATATGCTGATAATACATGCTGTGCTCTCATCCCTGTCAGGGATTTAAACAGATTTTTGCTTGGTGCCCAGAAAGCTTTTATACTGCATTAAAGCTCAGGCAGGTTCTTTCAGCATGACACTGCTCAGCACTTGAGCCTGTGCACACTACAGATCTTTGTCTTCTCCATAGCTGCAAATCTGCAAGCAGCCACATCAGGTTTCTTGAAGCAGGGAGAGAATATGAAAGGTTTGTTTAATTTAATTTAGAGAAATACTCTGGTGCGTTTACGCAACTAGAACAGGAAACAGTTCAAAACACCATAGTTTTCTGCGCTCTTTCCTCTGCTCCCTTCTCAAAAGGAGAAAGAAAAAAGGCACCTTCCTTTTGAGACATTCTCTAAAGCAGCAACAGGCAGAGCAGAGGGCAGTATGTGAGGAAAACCTCCCTTCCTGACAGACAGCCTCATGCAAAGGCGAGCTCTCGCTGCAGGGGGATGCGCTGGGAACTTGCTCCTTTCTCCCGGCCCGGGGTTACGGTCTAATCCTGCCCGCTTTTGCACAAGGCTCTCTAAGAAAGGATGAACTGCTACCGCTTGTTATTCTATCAGTGTGCTTTACTGTTTCACGCATCTTTGAAAATCACACCGCAGCAGGCAGCAAAAACTTCATTAATTACATAAAAGCAGGGAAGCGCAGTCAGCTTGTTTCAGCAAGAAAGGGCAATATATTTGTCCATGGTGATAAGCAGTGGAGTCGAATCCATCTCATTGTATGACAGGATACACACCCCTTCCACATGCGTCAAGAAATCTGGTCTATGATGCTACAGTTCTCAATCAGGCCACTTCTGAGTATTGATTTCTTGAGTTCTTGGGTAAAATTAAGAAAAATAATTTAAGTACACATCATTCTTTCTGAGGGCTCCGCACAGCCTTCACCCCAGTCTCTCTGCTTGGCTGTGCTTCAAAAAGAGACAGAGCAGTGCCAGCCAGGTGGGACGGGACAGGACGTGATGTGACGTGACGTGGGATTTCTCTGATCTGGCACAGCACAGGGGAGGGCTGACTCCCAGCCAGCCCGTGTCCAAAGCTGAAGCTGGGCAATGCATCTCCCAGCAAAGTTCCCAGGAGTGCAGGCTGACTCCCTGAAGCCCACCCACAGCCGCCACGCAGGGCTTCAGCCTGCGGCCCGCTCCGTGCCCCACTGCTCCAGGCACAGACGGCCAGAAACGCAAAGAACCTGCATTAACAGGCACCGTGCCATGGTGCCAGTGAGCCACCGCTGCCAGGAGGTGGCAACCACTTCAGACCCAGTAGGTCTGCTTCCCTGAACCCCTCTATAATCTCCCTCCAGCAGGAGAAGAAGAAAAAACAATTAACGGTAGAGCTGGAAGATGTCCATTCATGAAACAGACAAGATCCATAGGCCAATGACTTGGATATAACTTGCTCTAAGGGTCCTTAAAAATGTGAAAGGACATGAGTTTGAGCAAAATGACACAAAAGATTTTGACTTCTAGGTTTGGTTGTTAAAGACTGAAAGATGACAACATCTGACAACTACTTAGTTCCTCTTTAAAAAGAACCAAAGTTTCCAGAGCAGGTCCACAACACAAAACCACTACTAACACGAGTGTCTTCTCACTTCTCAGCGTCTCACAAGGAAGGTTAAGGGCTGAATGGTCCATCCTGACTGTTCTTTATCTCCCAGGGTGCATATATCCCCCAAGCCAAACCTCAACAACTTAGATACCAATCTGCATTTATTTTAAGAAGCTTATTTAAGAACACTGATCTTCTCTGAAGAAGCAGATGTCTAACCAACTCTGTAGAAGCAGCTGAGCAAATAGGAAAAAAAAAATGTCAAAATGTCTATGCTATCACTGGTGATACCATTTGAGTGAGGATTTCTCTAGCACCCTATGCTGGAAAGTCAAATTGTAACCGTGATCTAATGACTTGTCACCCACCTCACAGTAATTATTTTTGTCAGGAAATCATGTGATTTATTTGCAAACCTCAGCCTTTATTTTAGAAAAGGGAAGCCCCTTGTGATGTGGAGATAATTTTGAAAGCCAAACAGCCCAGAAGTGAGAGGTGAGTAAATACAGTCCAGGGTAGTAGTATTTAATTTTTTTTTCCATGTAAGTATGGAGGAAGAGTAAGGAGCTAGAGTAAGATTTTGAAATGCCTGGAGTTTGCAGCAATTCATTTTACAGAAGACTCTAGCTCCTTGGCTACCAGCAGCTCAAGTTCCTTTGTAACATCCCTCTGCTGCAGAGCCTAAAGCCAAGCAAACTCCTGGGCCCACAGTGCAGGGATGGTAGAGTGGCTGTAACTGGCACAGGCTTCATCAGTTCTGAAACCTGCAATGTCAGCTCTTTTCCCATGTGCTCTGATTGCTTCAAATAAGGACAGAAACATTTTCACAGGAAAAAATAAAAAAATTTTAAAAGAGTGTCTTTCACTAACTAGTCCTCTATCTAATTGTCTTGGGACATGAAACCCCAATACAGT